ACGCGGAATTGCGCGAGAAAATTCGATCTAACGAATTTTTTTTTTTTGATGCATTATTTATGATCGCCAGTGTAAAAGCTCATAAAATATAATGTTTATTTCATTGTAGTGAGAAATGCTTAAAGGTAAATATGGGCTAGGTGCTGGAAAAAGGCAAAAAAAAAGATCTTCAGAAAATCAATTTTTATGTTATAAATCTTATAATAGATCATAAGGGAACACGAACTTTAAAGAGCTATACTGCAAACTTTTATTAATGCAACTACTTTTTTGCTTAAGTGAAAAAGGATTCTATCTTATTCTAAATTGATTTATGTAAAAAAAATCTATTTTGAAAAAATTGTCAATTTCGTTCCTTTTTCCAGCACCTAGCCCATATATTTATATATATTCTATATTTATGGGAAAGAATCTAGCAACGTTGAAAATTGGTCATCCTGTGGTGGTGAATTTCCTATACCTTGCGATCCAGGAAATAAATCCATGCCTCTAATTAGGTCAGTATATTGCTGAAAGTAAACGAAAGCATTGGCAAGTAGATTTGTACTGTTTTGAGATCTTGGAAGCTGCATGCCAGTATTTGGAGCCCCTTGAAATAGGCCACCAACGGTTTGTGAACTACCATTATAATCATCGAGGGTTTGTAACTGGTCATTATTATTTTGGGATCGGGCACCAATAATTTGATTTGTAGATTGGTTATTATTAGCTTCCGGTTGAGCACTAATAGTCTGATTTGTAGATTGGTTCATGATTAAAAAAAAACTTTTTTCAAACAAAGGAATTAGAGAGATAGTTTTGAGAATACGAAGATGTGTATGATTTTTGAGAGTTTGGAGATCTTTTTATGTTATATATAAGGCAAATTAGGGCTAATTCAAATTTAGTTCTGAATCCAAAGGTAAAAGCTGAAGTTTAAATATGAGTGCTGCAAGGCGAAAACCTGTAGTGTGAATTTTACAGATAAACCCATCATATAATTTATGTCATGCTTAATTTAAATTTACCAGGAGTCGGATCAGAAAGCGGAGCTGGCAAAAATCGAAATTACAGGTTTTCATTTTGCAGCACTCATATTCTGCATATATTTTTTAGTTTATAAATTTAGTGTTTAGACCACATCATAGGTATCGATTCAGATACCCATTTGAGAAACGTTATATCTAATGTCATAAGCTTCCTAGATTTGACATGCCAAACCATATAATAAAAGTATTTATAGTATTTAAATTAACTTATGTTATAATTCCTATCTATACAATCTGTGTAATGAAGCATTCAACTTTCATACTTTTTCGAAATCGGCTAAACAAGATACTTAACCCGACTTTAATTAAACTAAATACATAGCAGTCTAGGGGCCGAAATCTTTGATATATTGTTTTGTTATTGTTTTTTTAATGCCATCAATACACAATATAAACATTTTATTATAATTTATACGTATACAGTATTATTCTTCTGAAATACTATACGAAATTTAAATCACTGACTCCATGATTCCATAACCGGACATATGGCTGTTTGATATTCACAATAAATACTACAGGAGCGACCGTCGATGTTACACGACTGACTTTTCACCCGGTGTGCAACATATAAAAAAACTATTTTACA